ATATATATATATATGACACTAATTTGAACAAGATGAGGAAAGGTAGTGCTCCCTTACGAGTCTTTTAAAGATTGGGATGGATTTAGAATCACGGATATTAGGTGGTAGGGAATTCCAAAGTCGCACTGCATGAACAGTGAAGGAATAGGTGTAAAAATCAGTATTGTGTGAGACAACAGAAAGATTAGATTTAAGATGAGATCGGGAAAGAGCCTCAGGAGGGCGGGCAAAGGAAAAACGTTCACGAAGGTAAGAGGGATAATCGGGATTAAAAAGTATGTTGAAAAGAAGACATAAGATGCGAGTGTTCCTGTGAAGTCGGATTGGGAGCCACTTGAGTCTTTTGCGAAATTCAGAGATATGATCGTACTTTTTTAAACCAAAGGCAAAGCGTATACAGACATTTTGCAAGCGCTCAAGTTTATTTAGAAGCTCCTCCGTGGCATCCAAATAGCAAGCATCAGCGTAGTCGATCAATGGACGGATCAGAGACTGCATAAGGTTGATCCTCGTTTTCAGAGGTAGAAGAGACTGGAGACGCTTCAGCGAATGCAAAGAGAAATGAACTTTACGACTGATCTCGTTCACCTGTTCACCCCACGAAAGGTTAGAATTAATAAACACGCCCAGATTCTTGGCAACATCAGTGTAAGGGATAACATTGCCATTTAGGATCAAAGGATCAAGGGCAGAGATGCTCAATGCGTTGCGGTAAAACCTACCACCAATTATCATAGCCTTGGACTTGAGGGGGTTGATTTGCAGGCCAAAGGATTTGGCCCACTCGTCGACCCCACCCAGGTCACGGTTCATGGCTTCAATTGCAGAGTCGACCTCTGACAGCTTGAAATGACGGTAAAGCTGCAAGTCGTCTGCGTAGAGGTGGAAATTAGAAGTGATAACCATGGCAACGGTGTTAATAAAAATGGAAAAAAGAACTGGAGAAAGGACACCACCCTGAGGCACGCCAGCAGCGAGGTCACACCAATCGGAAAAGGTATCCTCTAGGCGAACCCGCTGACGGCGGCCCCGGAGATAGGAGTTGAACCAGGATAAGGAAGAAGAGGAGAAATTGTTGGACTTAAGAATACCCAACAGGACATCAAAATCTACGGAATTGAAGGCGGAACTGAAGTCCAACAGAACAAGAAGAGTGAGAGATTTATTATCCATGGCCCAGCGAATGTCATCTGTAACTTTGAGCAAAGCTGTGACGGTGCTGTGACCAGGACGAAAACCTGACTGGAAGGAGGAAATGAGATTATTACTGGATAGATAGGCCCTTAGTTGTTTGTGAACAATATGTTCCATGACCTTGGAAAGAAAAGGGAGAATAGAAATAGGTCTATAGTGAGAGGGAACAGAAGGTTTGGATATTTTAGGCAGGGGAATAACGTGAGCAATTTTCCAGGCAGTAGGGAAAGAACAGGAAAATAAGGAGAAATTAAAAATGTGGGTAAGAATAGGAGTGAGGAGATGAAGAATAGGGATAAACATACGAGAGCATAGATTATCACTGCCCACCGCTGAGGACTTCACTGCCAACATGGACTTTCTCACGTCATCATCAGTGACACTGCTACTATTGGACTGATTTGAAAAATTATTTTTAAGTTGGATGTCCCATTTATCGAGGATGGCTATAGGCTATAAAACATCGCGCTACAATCAATAGGAGCCGAGCAGAGCGTGTGAAACCGTAGCTAGTGAACATATATCCGTTGACTATCATACTAATATGATAAATGAATGCGAAAGCTCTTGTGTGTTTGTCTGTATATGTGTGTTACACAAACACGTCAAAACGGCTGAAGGGATCAGGATCGAATTTGGAACAGCAGTAGATTATGGTATGGAATAACATATAGGCTACTTTCTATCCCACGGTAACACGGGCGAAGCCGCTAGCAGAAGTAAGTATTAAATAAATAAATAAATAAATAAATAAATAAAACAACAATTACAGATTTAAATTTTTATTTAAATAAAATGATACATTAGGTACATCGACTAGAAATTGGTAAAAATGAATGAATTAAAAAGCATTTTATGGATACTAAAATAACATATTTTGAACCGATTTTGCAATCATAAGTTAATTCAACTGTGGAATAAAATTGACATTTCATTGTTTTTAGTCTATAGGTACTAAAATAACCCGCGATTTTAGGAAATTTTTATGGAAGAATTACTCACGCGAAAATACTGAGAAAAGCTCTACTAATTTCGAACCACAGCACAGAGGGGTTCTTCCTCGTGAGCAGCGTGCGCGGTCGCGGCGATATCGCGGAGCCTACTTTCAGTAGAGCTTTTCTCTGTATAATAACGTGAGTAACCCGCGACTTTTAGTTAATTTAGTATGTCTCACGATAGTTATTATAAAAACATGGAAGAATCGTCAAATATTGATGCCAGTTATTCCTCAGTTTAAATTAATCTGTGTTGGAAAAATCGGCACCGATTTTGAGATTTTTGCATCTCCATAATATGATGGTTTGACAGTCAGGTCATTTTCGAGACGCGCGGCCGCGCGTCAGCCAAGTTCAGCAAACAGCGCGCGCCACAGTGTATCTTTACACGAACCACTTCGTGCCACTTTTGACCCCTCTATAACTCAAAAACTATTTAACGTAAACATATAAAACTTCGTACGTTTAATTTTATCCGTAAGGATCATTTTTAATCTCCAAGTTACCTATTATTTTAATGTTAAATGTAAGACAGTGCTAGTGTTGGAATCAGCGCCGCGACTCGAGTTACCGCTCTCGGGTCACGGCATTTCAGCTGAGCACTTGGCCTTTTTGCGCCGTGCACACTTTTACCATTTTTATTGTATTCATGTTCTACTTTGTTTTTTTTTAAATTTGTTACGATGCATATAAACAATGTTTCTTTTTTTCTTTGTAACAAGTTTAAACGATTACTTTTGGACTGAGAAAACATCCTTGTGCTGATTCTTTACAGCAAACAAAGAAAAAAAAAATACAATTAATACAGAAACAACAAATATGTTTTCTAAAAATCCATAATTAATTATATTTACAAGAAAACTGTTTCTAAAACAACAAACCTAATTTTCATATGACTGCACGGTTGGTGCAGTAGCTGGCCAACCTGCTGCCGTGCTACGCGTCGCGGGTTCGATTCCCGCACGGAACAACACTTTGCGTGATCCACAAATTGTTCTTCCGGGTCTGAGTGTCATGTGTATGTGAACTTGTATGTATGTAAACGCACCCACGACACAGGAGAAAATCGAAGTGTGGGGCAATGTTTAAAAAAAAATATATCGCCAGTTACGTTATGAGTCCCATGTAATAGGGGGCGAGCCAACTAACAAATATCGGGCACGATTTCATATATTTCGATCTCAAAAATTGAAATTTCGACATCAAAAGTGTACTCAGATATCTAATCCACGCAAGCGCATACCGGACACGGAAGTTTCGGTAGGTTCCTTTTTCGGATTATGTGGGAAACGCCCGGGTTAAGTAAAATCGCGAGTTACTCACGTGAATATACTGAGCTCTACTAGTTTCGAACCACAGAGGGATTCTTCCTCATGAGCAGCGTGCGCGGTCGCGGCGATGTCGCGCAGCTCACTCTTAGTGAGCTACTTTTAGAAACTAGTACAGCTTATCTCAGTATATTCACGTGAGTAACCCGCGATTTTACTTAATTTAGTATGTCTCACGATAGTTATTATAAAAACGCCCGGGTGTCATTACTGCACTGCTCGGACGGCGAGAAAGGGTAACTCGCCGCCCGACCAGAACCAGACCGTATGCACATACGGCGTTTGAGTTGTTCATGTCCCTGGACCGCGCCGGACTTCAGCGTTCCGGTAATATCATGGATCCTGGTGCACAAGATGTGCAGCGGTTTTGGGAGGTTGCGGCGGGATTGTCTCAACTTCAAAGTAACTCGTTTATTATTAGTATCGATGTTAGCCTACGTATCAGATTCTTTTTCTTCCTCTTTTTTTTTCTATTTTTTTTTTTAATTCTCTTCTTCTTCCTCATCATTTTCTCCCACTTCATCAGTGTAAGTGAAAGCGGTATAATCCGTCGCTTCCGTGTAATCCGTCATCGCATCATCTACATGCGCTTCTGTAAAGAAAAGATTAGCATCATCATCATCGTTCAGTTCGGATGGAAGTCTCGAAAACTATATTCGCAACTTAATTTGGTCGACATTATTAAAAAAACGACATAACATAACATAACTTCACGTATTTTATCTCCGAAGGGATACGCAGAGGTGCACATTATGACACTTAATGCCACTGTACAATGAACTGCACTTTTCACTATTTTATGCTATGAGTCCCATGTAATAGGGAGTGAGCCTATTGCCATATACAAGGCCCAATTCCAAACTCCGTGCTACTACTAAAATTTTATTTTAAATCCTAGTAATACTTTACCCGACCCGTGAATCGAAACCGAGACCCCTTGCCCGGCAGTTGCAGTTGCGACCACTAGGTCAACGAGGCAGTCATTCTTCAGCAAATACAATTGGGTATTTTCCAGGGTATCAAAATTAAAAATCTAATTAGTCCGTCAGTTAGATAATGAAAATATTAGACACGTATTTTTTTATTTTGTCGTATAAGTTGCAATACTTAGATAAAATGGCGCTAAGTTTAGGAGTGGGAGGTCGTTACGTCATAACGTGCTACAAAATGTGGCACGCTGTGACGTCACACGATATTTCAAATTAATATATCGTCGAAAGTATTTCATATTGTGAGAAAAGAAAGAATACGTGTCTAAAGTTTTAAATTAATGTACCAGACGGACATTAAAATAAAATTTAGGAAACTACCTCATTCTATCATTCTATTCTCTAGTATAGCAGCGAATTTTAAAACAACAAATCATCCCCTTCCTGGTCAGGGTTTGCACAAAAAACACAAAAGTATCGCACCATCAGCATCGGCTTTGAGTTCAGCATCACACTTGCATTTCTTCCACTCCTCGTATTCCCTCAGCTCTGAAGGTAAAAGCTTCTTCTTCTCATCGTCTGACAACGCAGCTGTGGCAGAAGAATCATCATCAACATTATCAGGCTAGAGACGCCTGTTTGGACATGTGAGTGTAATCATCATTTCTTCTTCAAAAGGCTGGTAATGCATTGGTAACTCCTCTAGTGTTGCCAGTAATCAGTGCCTTTAGCCAAACGCCACTTTAGTGCTTGTCTACAGAGAGAGTAGAAATCAAAATGTATGGGGATGACACTGACAAGTGTCAAAATATATGTCAATTCCATATAATTTGGTTTTCTATTCTACATGTAGACAAGCGCTAAATGGCATTTGGCTACAGCTGCAGGAGTGGTGCTAATTACTTACCATCAGGTGATGCGACAGCTCCTTTACCACTACATATATCCCATTAAAAAACTGCTGAATAGTGAACAAAGGCCTCCTGTTTTAAGTGGGTTTGCCATAGTATGTTTCTCTGCACTCTCAAAAGGAACTGGAAACTCCTCTAGTGGTGTCCATGGGCGGCGTCGATTGCTTACCACCAGAAGATCTGTCTGCTCATCTGCCACACCATCTCAATAAAAAAAAACATCTGAATATAGGCTTCGTCTAAAGGGGGTTTAGCATAGTTCCCGTTATGAACAGGTGGCTTACTCTTGAATCTAATTTCGATCGATCGACATTGACATTGTAAAATTTCGTACTCTTGAATTGCAACACTAGCGCCCATCGCATCCGTATTGCGTGGATATTGAATGAACTAAATGGTATTGAGTTCGGCTTTATATTCCGTACTCTGAATGCTATTTTAACAGCTACGATAGGGGTTGTATAGTTTTGACATTGAATAATTATTGAGATTTTATTGGATTGAAATTGCATTGAAATTGAGATTGGCTTCAAGAGTAAGCACCCAGTTCGGTTCATAATCGCAGTTGAGACACCAAAAGTTTAGTGAAAACGGTACCCGTCTTTCAATATCAGGTCGCAGTTTTAGGATATCATAACACAACATAACATAACATCAGGCCTTTTATCCCCGAAAGGGTAGGCAGAGGTGCACACAGAAGTAACACCCACGAGGCCCATGTAATAGGGGGTGAGCCTATTGCCATATACCGGGCACATTTCCAGACTCCGTGCTACTACTGAGATTTTTTTTAAACCCAGTAATACTACGCCCGACCTGGGAATCGAACCCGAGACCCCTTGCTCGGTAGTCGCACTTGCGACCACTCGGCCAACGAGGCAGTTTTAGGATATCACTAACTAATTAATCTTCAGCCCGTTTCCATGACCTGATATTTGACTCTCCAATATCCCACTTCTTAGCTTGAATTTCAGTTCTTCGCATCCGTGGAAGGCGCCCTAAACTATGCGCTTTCCATCGTTTATCCCCTCGGCCTTCGGTTTTCCAACAGATGCAACCAGCCAGCCAATTAAGTTTGCTAATCTAGTACTTACCAACATTGAATTGAATCCTGCTTGGCCTGCCTGTTATCTCAACGTCACAAAGGCAAGTGGACCCATGTACCATTATGGCCTCAGCCTCAGCCTTCCGTCTGAGCTCCGACGGCAGTTCCTTGGGACCTAGACCGAAACTAGTACTTAAGTTTCTTAAATCTACATACAAATACAAATTACTTATGCGCAGGACTTTCCAAATGCTAGCTTAAGGTTACACTAGTCGATATCTTTTCCATAGAAAGTTCGGGGTGGTATTACTCGACAGTGTGAATGTGTACCTACAAAATTAAACACGATATCGTTTTATCTTGTAATTACATTTGTCGGTACGGAAACAAAAAAAATAAAAAAAAAACTACTAAAAAGTTATGAGCCAACAAAGTTTTGTTTTTCTTTACAATTTTAACGCAACTTTGGGTGTTAAAAAATACCACTAATCGTGTAAAATCTCCAAACCGAAGACCGTACCGACTCAGCACAATTACCATAAAGTTCTATAAAATTTATTTGAAATTGATCTAAGCAGTGGTTTTTTCAAAAAACGCTATTTTCTAAAGCACTAAATCGTACTTTTTTACGCACTCGTTTTGTGATGGATTATCGTGCATTTCACTGGATAAAACTCCCCCGGCAGTGGCGCGGGGCGGAGGGAAGACGCACACGCGTTTTTGCACAATTTTTTGCACAATTATTATTTGCACGACACGCGCTGTCGTGCAATTGTCGTGATTTAGTGAAGTTGTTTTGGTTGATTGCATGACACTTGGAATTTCCAAGTGTCATTGGAAAATACATAATAAACAATGGGTAAGTCGTCCCTACAATTTATTATACCTTATCTAATTAGATTTTATTAGATACAGTTATCGGTTTAAATTAAATTTTGTGTAGAAACTGCTGATGGAATCCAGTTGAAAAAAACGCATAATTATTATTATCAGGTACAAGGCCAACTGATGGTAACTAAAAGAAAGTTTTGTTATTTTGTTGTTTGGACGCCAAATGGCATCGAAATAGATATAATTGAAAGAGATGATGAGTTTTGGACGCCAGACAAAATTTCTAAATTAGATATATTTTACCACCAATGTGTTTTGCCGGAGCTGATAGATCCGCGTTACCCTCGTAAATTACCATTTAGAGATAGATTTTAAGTCAATGTCAATAATTACGTTAAATAAATATTACGATTACCAATAAAGATTTTTCAGGTTCATTGTTTTTTTTTGTCTATAAATAAAAGCATAATAAATAAGTAAGTAACTAAAAGGGTGAACCCTTAGCAATTATACCCAGCCTTGCGGCGCTCTCCTGTGCTGCTAATACAGATACTATACCGGCATGAATATTGAGCGTTGACTCAGATTGCGCAGAAATCAAGTCTCTTTAGTAGTAGGTATTGTGAGAAGGATTGTTGCTACCTACAATTCTTCTCCCAAAAATCCTTTTACAGTGATTAGCTCGCCAATGTATACCTACCCACTTTGATGCCGAGCGCTCAAGATTCGAGCCGGTATCTCTACTTATGTTTGTGTCAGGGAGGTACCTAGTGCGCAGCTTTATGTTACGTTCCGAGCTGCCAAAAAGTCTGTAGGTACCTAACACGAAGTTGGAGTTAGGGACCTACCTACACGATGTAGGTATGAAGTCCACAAGTTTTGTTACGGACGAAATGACGAAAATCTAATTATGTGGTATTATCACTACTTCTAGTAATCTTAGGTAGTCACCGACGTACCTAACTAGGTAAGTATATATTTAATTTTATGAAAACATAATGACAGATCAATTGTCTCGAAATTCAGGAAATAATTCAGACCAGTAAGTACCTACCTAAATAGGTAGGTAGTTCCTGAGATTATTATGTTCAACCAAACAAACTATAATATTAGTTAAACATTATAACCTGATGAAAATATGACATTTGAACTGTATTATTTAGATAAAAGATGCATCTAGCTAGTTTGTAGTAGGTACATAAAGTTATTGGTACTTAGAAAAAAAAATATTATATAAAATTATATCCCTAGCCTTTCGTGGATTCTTCGGATCTGATGATAAGTTGATATCATAAAAAAATTGTCAGTAATTACAATGCCCTGTGACAATAATTATTAAATTCATGCGAGCATCATAAAATCGTAGCAGCGTGTACGACTTTACTACGAGTAAACACACACAGCACAGATATATGCACCATTCAGTGACGTTTTGCTGTGTTTGTGTGCGTGCGAACAATACGTCGTGCAAATAGATAGCGTCTAACTGCTCATCACTGGTACTATTTCTGTCACACACGATGTTAGATGAGACAGCGCGCTTTTTGGCCACGCCCTTGATTGAGTTCGAGCCCGCGACTAGTTTAACCTTAAAGCTATAAAATAGAACATTTTTATAGAAATTTAGAAAATTTAGTTTTTTTATAATACATAGTCATTATTATGCAGAAGTTGCCATTAGAATATAATACTACAAACACAATAGAATTTAGAATAGACATAACATAACATAACATCACGCATTTTATCCCCGAAGGGGTGAGCAGAGGTGTAAATTACGGCACTTAATGCCACTACAATGTAACACCCACTTTTCAATATTTATGTTATGAGTCCCATGTAATAGGGGATACAATAAGTAATAGGAATATAATTTAGAATAGAACATAGAATAATGGTGAGATGCAAACATCTCCAGTAAAATTACGTTGATTTTTGTTTACCATCAGTTGACTGGACAATCTCTACACTACACGAGTCACTGTTTACATGTCAACATTAGCTCATGACAATATCAGCGTACGTGTGTCACTGGACAGTGTAGCTCGCTACCATCAGTTGACTGGATAATCTCTACACTACACGAGTCACTGTTTACATGTCAACATTAGCTCATGACGATACCAGCGTACGTGTGTCACTGGACAGTGAACCTCGCTACCATCAGTTGACTGGATAATCTCTACACTACACGAGTCACTGTTTACATGTCAACATTAGCTCATGACGATACGTGACATGTGTCACTGGACAGTGAACCTCGCTACCATCAGTTGACTGAACATCTACACTACATGTGCTGATGTAACTTACATTGACCACTACGGACAGGTGGTGGAGTTCTCTCGAGTGCGTCGCTGTAAACTTGCCACATGAAGTGGTGGTATTTGTAGTCTTTCACGGGAAGAATCTTAGCTTCGGTAGCAAAGTCGAATACTAAGAAAAAGTGTTTAAGTTAATGTTTGTTCTGAAGATTTCTTGGCCGAAATCTAACCTTAAGTCTGGAAGAGCTATGCTTTCATACGAATGTGCTGGCTCGAACGGAGTGATACCACGGCCGAGCAGAATACGACGTGAAAAAACCCAAGTTGTGTTTCTCTACGTGAGACCCAATTTCCCCCTACCCAATCCCTCCAATCCCTGAAAGGCCGTTAATGCTCTTGTAACTGATTGGTTACCATCAGGTGATCTGTTTGCTCGTTTACCGGCTTATTCCATAAAGAACCTAACTCAATCGATTTTGGTGTTAATACCAACAGATAAGTGAGTGAACACGATTCACAAAACTGACGTTTATCACTTAATGGTAAAATTGGACTTTTGTAGGCAGACTGCCGCTTCTAGACTATAGGTCTCCTCTACACTACATAAGAGCTGGAAGAGCCATGATTTGGTATCAATGTATCAGCTTAACAGGAGTGATACCACGGCCTCATAAGAAACCATCGTGAAACAACGCTTGCATTGTTCGCAGCCGAATGATTAACATATTGGATGCCGTGTCAGACAATGATCTCCGACGCTAGCGAAGGATTAGCCTTCCACAGTTTTTATCGACAGTTAAGGGCTTAAGGTTATCGGAGACCGGTAACTCAAAAGGCCGCCAGGCCGGTAACGCTATTGTTAACACCGCACTCGGCTTGGATTGAAAATCGCACTTTAAAAGGTTCAGGTTTATCAGATCTGCCCGGTCTCTGTCTAATGTGTAGTCCCTGTACAGTCTTAAACTGTACACGCTGTATATGGGTAGTGCTGATGCGGCAACTATGTCGCGTCGCGCGTTCGTAATTTAAGTATAAATAGTCATCGATTAAGTAAACTCAGTGTGTGCTAATAAACCAACGATAGAGAAAGGAATCGCCAACCTTCAACTTGTATAACTTAACTAATAAACGTATCATAAGTGATTCTTTCTCTTTGCACTCATCAACTCAACTGACTTAACTTCAAGAAGCAAACAGCGAACCTAAGCAAGGTGTACTTAACCGTACATTTTATGGTCCTTCGAGCCGGAAAATTAACTACTTCGCCGACGACATCTACGGGAAAACCAAGGAGATGTACGTGGCCACTAAAACCGATATCACTAACAGGATAACGGAATTACACGAACAACAACAAGAGGTACAATTTGACTTGACTGGTACTTCGGAAGACTTAACTACGGAGTGTGGTGACAAGCAACAGTTGTTACTTCAAAAACAAGAATGCAACTTTAACGCCATATACCGAACCATGGAAAAAATCAACATGATGCCTATATCTGAACAATGGGAATTAGAAGATCATCTGTCGACCTTGAAATCCAAGTGGGATCCCATCGATAATCTTCATTGGCAAATAGATTTCCTATTGAAGGGTTCGAATGAAGAATACTACAAAACGTTTTCGGATGTTGAACAAAGGTACGATGACTTGCGAACTAAGCTTAACTCCACCAAGTGGTCGAATGCCCATTATAAAAAATCCGCACCCAAGATCGACCTTCCGGAATTCTCAGGCAACTATATTCAGTGGATCTCCTTTAAGGATTTGTTTTTGGAAACCATCCATAAAAATCCAGTAATCAACCACGCTCAAAAAATGCAACACCTAAAATCTAAATTGAGAGGCGAAGCTGAGCGCTTAGTACAACATTTGACATTATGTACTGAGAATTACAACACTTGCTGGGATATTCTGACCCAGCGTTACGATAATCGGCGTCTGCAGTTTACTGCCTACATGAATACTATATTGAATCTCCCTGTCATACAACATCCAGATTCATTTAACTTGAAGAAGATGCATGACGTCATCACAGAGTGTCTAAACGGCATTTCTAACATCGGCATTGACACTACTTCTTGGGACCCGATCATCGTACATATCATGTCTCAAAAACTCGACACAAGCACTCTGAGCGATTATATGAAGGAGTTACAAGACCATAGAGAATTACAGAATTTACGTGATTTTCTATACTTTCTGGAAACGCAATTTATGGCCTACGAAACCATGAAATCAACTAAGAAAGGAAACATACTAAGCGCCTACAACCCATCTTCCAATAAATCATACAAGCAAACCCCGATGAAAAACACTTACTATCGACCTGTCAGAACAAACAACTATTTCGCAACATACGGGAAATGCCCACATTGCAAAGGGACTCACGTTCTAATGAATTGCGATAAATTTATTGAATTGGGAGCAAGCAAACGCAATGAAATTA